TTTGTGTTGAATTGGAGATGGTCTAAGAGACTTTGAACAAAAAGTAAAATATCAACCAATAATTAAATCATTAATGAAAAACTTAAAAGTACAATTTGATTGTTGACTTTGAATATTCATTCTCAAGAGGAAGTCACCATATATTTTTTTATAATTTGAATAAATCTCATGCTAATTTAGTTAAATTCAATCTCTCTCAAATCTTAAAAAATTCAATTAAATCAAAATTTAAATTTCTTCTCTCAAATCTCTTCCGAATCCGCTTAGATTCAATACAAAATTATTTTTTCTTCTATCAATTCTATTCCAAAACCGTCTAGTTTCAAAAATTTCAAATTTTCTTCTTCAATTCTCAAATCGTAATAGATTGAAAAAAGTCGAAAACAATAGCTGATTTTATTGGATGTGTATCTATAAATTTAGATAATTAATACATTGGTCAATGGATGAATCAATTAATTTTTGTTCATTGTTAATTGTGCTCTCGTGTTAAAGTGTCCGGGCTCCTCTTGAACGCTTGTACAAAGATATCAAATTTCTCATATATTAGTGGCACAATATTTGAAAGGAAAATATGAAAGAAATATTTTAAAATTTAAGCAAGGTGTGAATTTTGCAGTGGGAGAGGCAACATCACTTGATTCTGCCTACTTGTTGGATAATGGGTTGGTTAAAAAATATAAGATATCTTTCTTTTGCAAATTTCCTTCAGGTAATAGCCCTGAGCAGTCCGTATTGGCACTATGAAATTATTAATGTGTATCCGTTACATATTGAAACAACATATAAAAAGGTTGAAGAGATACATACCTTTGATGGATACATATTTGTGTGGTTATTGCTATGTATTAGATATATTTAGTATAAATTTAAAATTGATGTATCATGTCTGAAAAACTAGTGCATGATTTATTACTATTTATGTATCTTATTTTGTTTGAGAAATATTGTATTTTATAATTCATCCTTGAAGGACGATGCAGGACGAATGATTGATCCCTTCGATGAAGGATGAATTGTTGATCCCTTTGATGAAGGACGAATTATTGATCTCTTTGATGAAGGATGAATTGTTGATCTCTTCGAAGAAGGACGAATTATTGATCCCTTTGATGAACGATGAATTGTTGATCTCTTCGAAGAAGGACGAATTATTGATCTCTTCGAAGAAGGACGAATTATTGATTTCTTCAATGAAGGATGAATTATTGATCCCTTTCAGTGAAGATGAATTTTTTATTCCTTGATAAAGGATGAACTGTTAATCCATTTGATAAGGAAGAATTGTTGATCCCTCTGATAAGGATATTGTCTCATGTGTTTATATAATGGGATTGTGAAGTCGCAATCGATATTGCAAAGAATAAATCTTACAATTGTAAGACCAGACACATGAATTGAGGCATGATGTCGTTAAGCAGCTGCTGAAATATGGAACAATTGCAATTGATTATGTGAAGTCAGAATTGAATTTGGCCGATTCACTGACAAAACTCGTGGGAAGAAAATTAATTCTTCAAACCTCAATAGAAATGGGTTTAAGGCCAATTGTCAGCCAATAGAGATAGGAACCCAACCTATGTGATCAGAGATCCCATGAAGTAGATTCATATGGGTAATAACAAGTCGACATCGACTCTGCGCACTAACTGAGATTGTTTGAAACTGCTACTAAAAATGAGGGATGCATTATTAACTCTTAATGAATTCATAGTCTTTAATTAAGGAAGGTGTATTTAAAGCAGTGTACTCTTGATGAATTCACCTATATGAGAGTAGGAGTGTGGCCGCTCCTATAAGACTTTGACCTGCTCTCTAGAGCTATCATGAATATCAAGCACGCGCATGGCCTATAAGCGTAAAACCACGTTGAACAGCAAAATTACTGTGGTCAAAATGTGATTGTTAAAATTATCTCTATTTATTTAAGATAGTGAAGAGTTTGTTTAATCCTGGAAAAATATTTCACATCGTTGAAATAGTTTCTTAGAACAGTGTCTAGCACGACTCAAGTATTTATTATTTTATGTACTATTATTTATATATTATCGTATTATTTTTTTATCTTATTTTCAAAACTATTGTTTTGTTAAACATTGAAGTTATTTGTTATTAATATTGTTATTATTATTGTAAAATTTCTAATATTTCCCCAACAATGGATAAATTTATAACATAACCCTAAGCAACAATTTATTTGAGTTCCGCCTAGGAGTGGCAAACTGTCGGGTTGGATTGGTTTTGCATGGATTGAATATGGTTTGAGAAAAAATAGGTTGGATCATAATCCATTTATATATAATATGGTCAAATATGGATTTGATTAAATATGATTTGGTCAAAATGGTTCTAACCATTTTAACCAAATTGTTTTTCAAAAACATAAATGTAACCCTCTCCACATACCCCACCTCCCCCCCCCCACTCCCACCCCACCTTTCACCAACCTACCCCTAAAAAAATATTTTTTCAAAAAAATAATAATATGTTTTTCAAAAAAAATAAAAAATTATCCCACCCCCTGGCAATTCCTTGCTTACTCACCCCACCTTCCACCAACATACCCTATTTTTTAAAAATAAATAAATAAATATATTTTTTCCAAAAAAAAAAAAAAAATTTACCCTCTCCTCCCGGATATTCTCCACCCCAACTTCCACCAACCTACCTCTAAATTTTTTTTATTGAGTGAAAGTGAAAGTAAGTGATCTAATTTGAATCAAATGGATACACCATATTGAACCCATTTTGACCATATTTGAAGAGACTTTAAAATAACTTGAAAGCCCATATTTGACCAATTATAATATGAGCGATCTAAGTCATTATATATGGTCAAAATGGACTCATTTTATTAATATGGGTTGAAATTGTCACCCCTCGCCCCCATAATGAGTGTGTCATGCTTGATCACCGCTATCTACGTGTTGTCTCATGATACGTTAGGACATCAAAGAATTTTTAGCCAGGTTCAATCTTTGAATTTTAAAAGTACTATACCAAATTAGTTCTACATGATTTGATTTTTGTGAGTTTGTTTTTGGTAAAATGCAGTACGAAAAGTTGATAATCATAGTTGTTAAACATCGATTTACATAAAGTAGAATTCAACTCTGAAACATCTCAATTATATTATATCATATTTTTTTATTTTTTTTACATAATGGCATATTCAAGGAAAGCAAAAGTAATTCCCTTTGTGAATAAATAATCACATAAAGAACATTTTAATCAAGACAAGAATTAGTATAAAGTTTACATAATCTAATAAGTAAAAAAACCAAAATGCATTTAAAATTTGGCATTTTATCAGCTTAAAAAATTATTACCATCTATATAATAAGTGAATATGTATAGATGATATACTTAAGCAGGTATTTTTTGTACGAAGTAGCTCGCCTAAAAAGAACGAAATCTTAACCAATGTTTTGGATTTTTGAGTTTTCTCCCAAACCTAGGTTAGGGGGTCAGATCATAACTTCCATTGCTAGTCTAGCGCGGCTAGCTTTGCGCATGACCTTTTAAGAACGAGTAACAGTGGAGCCAAGAAGCCTGTCAAGAACATGAATCGATTTGTTGGGGCTAAGACTTCTCTTCCTTCCTTCTCTACATTCCGAATCGTTCACCAAAGATGTCGCTAGATGGAGGTATCAATTGAAGCCCAACTTTTGTTTTTCTACCTTGGTCTAGCATCCTAAAGTTCGGAACGATAGAAGCTTTCATGGCTCCTCCCAGAAAGGTATCATAATGTGAGCGAATTTGAAGACTTTCATCAAAGGAACTTTCGAACTAGAAAAACTCACAACCCGTTTCTTTATGGAAGGAAGGAAGATATGTCTAAGCTCGATCGAAACTCTACCCCCAATTTTCTTTACTATTGAAACAACAAGAAACAGGACTTGCAAGGTCTAGCACGAAGTGAGCCGTGCTAGCCTAACAATGTTTTCAGCAACAAATTACGGTTTAACGACCCTCTAGTCTAAGTTAGGGCAAAAACTTCAAAATATAAAACGTTTCCTTTAGGCGAGCTACTTTGTTTCAAACATTTCTCTGATAATAAGGATATATATATATATATATATACATACACTAACCAAAGTATATACACAGCTAGTCAGCTAGATTTCACACCTTTTAGATATATTTTTACAGTAAATTTTCTTTAGGGAGCAATATTATGATTGAGGCGTAAAATTGATGGATAAACTGGAAAAATAACATGTATACAAAAAAAGGAAACTATGTCCAAGCGACTATCCTTTACTTTCATATCTCTGTTTTTTAGCTACCCAACTCTATTTACCCCCCATTTTCTACCATACATAAAATAATAATTCAAATAAAAATAACAATACAATAGTCAATATATAACCAAAAAAAATTATCATGACAATTTTGCTTTCGATGTATATCCATTAATTTACGTATTATATAATTTGCTTGCAATTTATGTTATTTAGAAATTTAGAATGAAATTTAATTTTATATTAAATATAAATTTGAAAAAATAAAATTTTATGTTACATGATAATCATATAAAGTGATTAGTTGAAAAAAGAAAGAAAATTATATTATGAAATAAGAAAATAAAAGTGAAATGAAAATAATAATAATAATGATATTGAGGAGAGAAAAAGATCCTTTTTAGAGAAAAATAGAGAATTGAATTGGATTCAAGGGTGTATCTAGAGGGGTGAGTGAGTTCACGTGAACCCATGCTCCCCTCTCTAGATCATATATAGTAGTGTTATATTTTTAAACAATATTTAAATATAAATGTGTGAACACACATTTAAAGTATCATATAATAATACATAATACGATGATGATTGGATGCACCTCTCTAACTGAGGATAGAAATTAAAGTCTTATATATCTTGTCTTTTTAAGTAGCAACTCTCCAAGCAGTTATAGATAACACTTTTTAAGTGTTTTAACTAATTTTTCTTTTATTTTTTTCCTTAAATTTTTAAAAATATTTAAGTGTGTTACAGTGAAAATTTTCCTAAAAATTTAGCCCTGGAATTCTTTTATATAATTAAATTAATGTGTGCATTAAAATCTAAAACTAGTACTATTATATATTTTGCACCTATAATTTTTGAAGTTTAATAGTTCATATTAAGAACTTAAAAGTCAAATTGATCAAATTTATATTTAAGATGCTTTTTTTCGTAATCATGCACCCATCTTGTTGAAATTCTGAATACGCCTCTGGTTGGAATTATTGTCTGAAAAAATAAAGAACTCTATAATTAGAGAATAAAATAGAGAATACAAATTGGAGATGAAATGCCCTTATGGTATCAAAGAGGAAAAAGTCGTACTTCATTGAAAACACTAGTCTATTACTCGTTGATACCATTACAGTATATATATACTGTTATGGTATCAAGGAGGAATATATTGCTCAATAACTGTTTAATCCCATCAGTGTGTGTGTGTATATATATATATATATATATATATATATATATATATATATATATATATATATATATATATATATATATGATGAAATCTAAGGATAAAGAAGCACTAGTTCAGTAAATAGAACAAGGGGCAGTCGAATAAATAGTTTAGACAACAAGTCCAATCAAGATAAATATATTTGATTGAATCCAATTTGAGTAAATATTTTATCTAATATGTCTATTTCTGTAGTTCTCCTAAAATACTTTCTCGTGAACCGTTGAGGTCATTTAAAGACAATGTCCTGTTGCAAACTTTTGACTATTGTTCTGATTCCTGTCCCCCTCTAATTGACCTGTGAGTCGTAATATGGGGAAAAAAGTACCTAGATATCTCTAAACAGAACTTCAATAATAGTATAAAGTAATTTCCTTTGCCTAAAAGTAAGGTAGTAGTCTTAATATGATGCAAAACAGCTTTATACCTTTCCATCGTCACTTTTATCAAGAAAAGAACCCTTTGAAGGGGCACAAATATTATCACCATTTGTATCAATCAAGCTGAAATCTATCTTTTTCTCTAAAATGGCTAAAATATGGATTGAAATCTGCATGATTTCCGCCAGGGGACTCCGGCGAACATCGGCTTTGTGGAAGCTTCAGTGGTATGCTGTTGGATGGATTGATCCAAACAACAAGTACTGTTCCAAGATTGATTCTTCAGGCAATGCAAATCCTGTTTGGAAAACCAAATTCTCAATGTTGGTTGACACTTCTCTCCAGGATTTGGCCCTAAATGTTGAAGTTTACAGTAGAGAACCCATTTTTCTTAGAGAAAAACTCATGGGAACAGCTACTGTGCTTCTGAAGGAGTTTCTAGACAAGTACAATAAGAACACTGAGGTTTCGAAGCCAATTGAAGAAGTTGGGAGCTTTCAATTGCGGAAAAAGAACTCGAATAAACCTCAGGGATTTATCGATGTCTCCATCAGAGTTTCGGAGGAGAGGGAAGAATCTAGTTCACAACCAGGTAGAAACTTAAGTTGCTGTTTGTTCCTTTAGACTTCATGATTTGTGTAATTATTCATCTTCTATGAAACAAATCCTTAAAAAAAAGACGCTAGTTTATATTGATTCAGATAGTAATACCTGGATGAAGAACCATACTCTTGCGATTCTTGACTGAGAATTTTCCTTTTTTGACAACATCTTGTTTGAAACTAGGTGAAAAGGAGGGATTTAAGCTTGGGGATAACAGCAGTGGCTTCAACTTGACTAATGGATATAAACCTGCATCAGCATACCTACAACCACAATCTTTAACCCCGTCTCAAATGCTGGAGAGACAACCACAGAAAAATCACCAATATGCACATCCAATGCCATATCCTACAAATTATTCACATCCACCTGTGGCGGGACCGAGCTACACACAAGCAGCAGGACCAAGCTATCAGCCGTCGCGTACTCCACCCCCACCTCCACCTCCACCTGCTAATGTTGGTTATATTCCAACTTTCCTCCCAAGAACAAATAACATGCCGCCTAGTTATTTAAACATGCCACAAAATGGAACTTCAGCAGCACGAAATGCTAGACCTGGTTTTGGAATGGGAGTAGGTGCAGGGGCATTAGCTGCTGGCGCTATGATATTTGGAGATGATTTCATGTCTGGTTTTGACCTGCCTCATGGTTTACAGGATCCCTCTCTCACCATATCGCTTGATCCTCTTGTCTGAAGATGAGAATACCATCTATTGAATTACAATGAGTACAATGAGGTTATCACAAGAATCTGCATAGATGTTTCAGTTTGTACCTGCAAATCTCAGGCTTCTTGTGTAACAACAGATTTCAGCAGCTTTGTAATAAGCTGAAGTATAAATTTACAACTCTCAAGATACATGGTGTATTATATTTGCATGTCTCAAGGGACAAGAAATCAATGTTTACTTAAACAACTATAAGCCACCTACGTTATATTATGGAATGCACTGATAGGTGTTTATAGAATTGAGTATAATTGACAAAGAGCTTAATGATTTCCTATATATGAACTTTAGTAGGCAGTTCAAGTGTCAAACTGAATGCTCACCAATTGATATCAATCCTAGAGGTCACGTTGAACTGGAAAAAGTATCAATCTCAAGTTGCTGGTTGCAGATGAGACTCTTTCTGCACCCCAAAAGCTCTTTCAAGGAATCTGTCAACAATGGATACAAATTCGTCAACCTTCTCTTCATGGGGCAAGTGGCCACAATTCTTGATTATTTCAAGACAAGATCCAGGAATGGACTGTGAAAGTCTTTCAGAGTTCCATGACGGAACAAGCCGGTCGCCGTCACCAGTGATAATCAGAACTGAGAGAAAAAAACAGCATTAGGAACTTTGTGTATTCACTGTGCAACAGTGTTATCAAAGGCGAAAAGCACAAAAAAGCTCTAAGGTCTGGGGGTCTTTAATGAATAAAGGCGCAAAGGGAGAAATAAAATACAGATATATATGATTAGTCCAAGACTAATAATTATACACATAAATGACAAATATATGATCAAAGAAATTGAAAAAAAAAATGATAAACTGAAATATCATTATTTAGTTTCACTTTTTCATAAGAGGCTCATTGGCAAGGAAAACATTTCCTCTAGAACCTTGATGACGACACTGAAGCGCATATAAAGCGAGACGAAGCTATCAACATGTTTTGAGCCTCGCTTCAAGGCTTAAGCGCGCTTAAAGTGCGGCTTTGATAACACTGGCAACTGGAGTCTATTGTTTATCATGCAACATTACGATAATATGTTCTTAGAACATAGCATCATCACAAATCCAAGAATGTAAAAGGATCATGACAGAACTTTCCCATACAAGGGAGTAGCCTAGAAAAGAATGGTGCAATCAAAGGTTATTTGGTAGTCAAGAGCTGTTGGTTATATAGCATAACTGTTTTTTCAGTACTTCATATTCACATGAGATTTGCTTGCTTTTCTATTAATGATTTTGAAATCAAATGTTTTCTTTTAGTTATCAATATCAATTCAATTTGATGCCACATAGATGATTTTCTAACCAGGACATGAGATTTCACTTAGTCTCTTCGACAGTGGTGGTTTTGATTCAGACGCAGAATCTGTAAGCATAGCCACGGTATACTCCACCAGAGCCCTATCCCAATCTTTTACTCTGAGAGGCTGCATATATTAAAAGAGTAAACATGACAACAATGCACAATGAAACCAGGTTGCACACCTGAAAAATCAAATACAAGCCCAAAAGAAGAAACCAAACACATCATTTAGTTGGAAACAACTAGCTGCCAAGGAATCACCTTTGTATAGCCTTGCAAGACATGATCATCAACTTGTTTAGGATCATACCAAGCATTTCTAACAGCAGCTAAGCCAAACTTATCAATTATCATCCTTACCTGAAAGAAAATGGTAGTCATTTTTGTACCCATTTAATCAAGTTTTATAGAGTGGTAATCAAGTATTTTTCTCATTTTGCATATGTTGCAAATGACTAATAAGAACATAAATATATCAAATCTATCCTCAAATAAATGTCAGAAAGGTCAAAGAAGTAATAGAGCTGCTAAGACAACAGCAGCTGACATGTTCCATGGACTTGCACTACACATATAACTCATCTCACCCTCTTGTTTAACTTCTTCAAGAATGTCCGGGAGGATATCTCACTCAAAAACCAATTTTCAAATATTGGAAATCATAAAGTATAGACGTAATTTCAATTTCACAAGGCTGCACAATGTAAATTTTCAGAAAGGAAAATTAGGTTCAATAAATAGATTAGAAGATCCAAAATAGAGTACATACCAACATAATACCAATGGTAGAACGCAAGAATGCAGATAAAGCTTTCCTATATAAAGAGTTTATCATGTCTCCGATCCCTTTCACCAAACGCATCATTGCCTGTCCAAGATATTGGGATACCTTTGACAAAATGCTAAAAACCGAGGTAAACCAATTCCCTTTAGAGTTCACTTCCAATTCCTTGCCTTCAGTCTGGTTACTTTTTCCACTTGAATTGTCTTTCGTTACATGCCCTAAATTCAGGGGTGCTACAATTGCAGGGGCAACAAGTATCAGGGCAGCAACTCGCTCAGGTGCTTCAAAATATGCTTCAACTGCTACAATGGAACCAGCTGAGTGTCTGGTATATCTCATTAGTTACTGATTAAAAGTGACATCTTTGATAAAGCAAATAGGAAGAGCAAAGGGAAGGAGGGCAATACTACAACAAAGAACAAGTTGAAGCACATTATCCTCTCATAGGGAATTACATATCTACTTCATCTTGACCAAATAAAGACACTTTCTACTGTTTGCAGTAAATAATTAGGAACAGAAATCTAATCAGTCAATCCAGAAACAGTACAATGCTGATAGGTTATTTTATTTAAGATATAGAAGAATAAGAGGTAACGTACATAACTGAATATGACCATTAAATTCTTATCGCCTAAAAGTTCATCCTAGAGTAGGTCAATCATTCATTTGGAAACACACATCTGATTTTCATCGAAAATTTATTTTCACCATTTCTGTTATTTCACATTTCTTTTATTATTGGGGTAGCGATAGATCGTTGTCTTCGCATAGTGAAACTAAAATATAACTATAACAATGATATTTTACTGCAATAATTTCAAAGCTAAATCAAGCCACTTCCTTTTTTAGATAAGTCAAAATATATAAATCTATAACTGTTCATAATGGAAATATTAGAATTCAGATCTTGTCATCCAAGAAAAATCATAGTAGACTTTGAATAGAACTTACCCCACTAGAATTGCCTTCTCAGCTGCTAAGAACTCAATGAAGTATAGAGTGGCCAACACAGAGAATATCATGGAGTATGGATTAAAAGGTCTTGTGTCTTCACTTCCCTGAGATGAATGGTTCGCATGATTTAGCCTTGCCGTCAACCCAAAGGCTGGTCTGTCAAAGGCCAGAACTTTTTTCCCAGTGATTTGAGCCAAGGGCTTCATAGCTCGATTCCATGAAAAAATAGAGGCACCAAAGCCATGTAATAAAATCATAGGAAAATTCACTCTTTTATTAGCATGAGGAGGTTGAGAACTAGTTCCTTCTTCTGACAGGTTTGTAGCAACTGATTCTGCATCATATACCTTATGGTGTATTTGTACTCCTTTAAACTCACAAAAACAACTATCAGGGTCTGCTAGAATAGCTGGATCTTGTAATTCTTCCTGATCTATCCCTGCTATCTGCCTTTTCCGTTTTGGCCTTGTCCCAGGTGATGTTTCTGGATTAGCTTGGAAAAATTAATGAAATAGGAGATGAAAACAAAAGAAGAATCCCAAGCTTCATCAAGTTCTCTCAGCTGCTTCTAAATACCAAAAGAATCTGATTGAGCTCAAATATGTTCCCTTTGGCGTTAGCACTTATTCAACTTTGCTTAGCCTCAAATAACTGACTAGACTTTTAACTATTTCTGGTTCTTTGTTCCGTTGGCTTCACAAGAGGAATAAATTAGTAAACAAACATCCAATTGCTGAAAAGTTATATGCACGACTGAGCATTTATTTCATATATATTATGTCAGCTCCAAAAGGACTGTCCCTAATACTATTTCAGAACTACCATAGTTTTGCTTTGACTTAAGTTTTTCCAAATTATTTTTAACCAAACAAAATTACAAATTATGCTTCTATGTTCAAATACCAGAATCATTTTTATTTTGAGAAGGTAAGAATTAGATATTTTATAATGAATCAGCACCTAAGAATGTGCAATGGTAATTGTACAAAAGAATATAATAGTAATAATACATCCAACAGAAGTATACCCCTGACTGGGCCTGTAGTGATTCTAACAAATCAAGACTAAATTCAGCCTCCTCTACATGTTCCATTCTGCACTAACAACAAAACAAAACCATACAATTTGATTTGCACTTCTGAGTGTTGTTTAGTGAGTACTTGAAATATATTCTGTTCTTTCAACTCAAACCATCGACTAGATGCAGCAAGTACCCTATTCCACTGATTCTTCTTTCTTGGAAGCCCTATTCTGTTCCAAAACTTCAACAGTTCAGTGGTATCCTTGCCATAAGCCCATAACCCACGGCATGCCAATTGCATTAAAAAGATATTTCAATTTTGAACAATGATTAGAACACTGCAAAAATAAATGGCCGACAAACTCAACTTGTTTTCACCATAAGAAACATCTGCTGCAAGTATTGCTCCTCTCTTTGGAAAGTTATGCTGCTTTTGATTTCCATGATTGTTTCCATGGCCAAGGTTCAAGCTGGCATTCCATCCTTGTAAGAGATCTATAACATGACTTAACAGTAAATTATCCTTCGCTATTTAGCTTCCTTTTCAAATTATCTTCTGAATCTGCGACTTATTGAAAGGAATCTAGTAACCTAAGAAATTGAGCAGCTCTAGACAGTTCCCAATAATTGAAATCTGAAATCTGCCAATATTGATGTAGACCTAGTAGCCAAAGTAAGTAAACCTGGAAATAAGCCTCCAAGGGGCCATGCCCAAACCAATTTCCCCAAAAAGAGGTGTTCCTTCCATTTTCCACTGCTGTCTTGCTCAAGAAACCAAGCTGTAAATATATGATACATTTCCATATGGATACTCCATGACTACTTCTGACTTCGTAGTGCACCATGTCCCTCAATTCCATATTTATTACTGCTTACCCAACCCTCTGAGCTTCCACCTCTGTGTTAATATCCATAGTCATTTCATGAGCAACCCTTCTATTTTGTTAACCTCCCCATTCCTCCATCCTTCTTGTTTATAATTAGTGTGTTCCATCTTACCAGATTAAATGATTTCTTCTCCTTACTTCCTTGCACAAAAAAGTTTCTTATGCAAATTCTCTTCTCAATCTTAAATGGCATGGAAAAAT